AAGAACTGAGAATTTCCTCCTAGAGCTGATACATTAGACCTACAGATCATACAATTCTTCATCTGCTTTGCTGCTTTTTGGTTAGCAATGTAATCATTCATTTAGGGAAACCGACTGTGGCTGAATTTTGTGGGGGTTATTTTGGGGTTTTTAATATCTGTTGCAGAACAGGCTGATGCTTTTTCTTACATGTCTGATTTAAGCATCTGCTCTCTTCTTGGACACTGAATTTGGATATTTTGCAGCAGTTCTGAAATCAGTTGTGTTCAGCTTTGAGTTGTGAGTGCTTTTGCTTTGATGACCGGGACACAGATGTTTGTGAATTATTTTGTAATCTTTTATTGTAAAATACAGACTCTACGTTTCGACAATACTGGTCTCTGTTACACCTGAAGGCTTGAAATACTAGATTGGCCAAAATCAGCCTTCCCCCTGCTTAATCCATGTTCTTTTTCACAAGGTGAAACACATTCTTTTAGAGGGGAAAATAAAAAAGGGTTGGGAGTACTTCAGTCCTTGGACAGCCCATGAATCCACCAGCTGTCAGGAAGAAAATGAAGCTAAACCTGAGGTTTCTACAGCAGCAAATGTCTAAGGACTATTCATACCTGGTCTATCAGGTAGAGATACATTATTTTTAGTATTTCCTTCTCCTTCCTGAAAGTAATGCAAATCACCACATTTAAAAATGTGACCTTGGGCTGCCCAAAGCAGGCCTCCTAACCAGAAACCCACTGGGGTACAGATGAATGTAGATCCTAAAGGGATTTTGGTGTGATGCTGAGTCCCTGCTCACGAAACATCTCTGGCATCACTCGTTTGTCACTTAGGATAGTGACTTTTGAAAACCCAGATCATTTATTACCAGTAAGTAGGGTACTCTCCACATTTTTATGGCTTTGGTTTAATGGCCCACAGAGTATTAAAAACAAACAAACAAGGCTATTTTTCACAGATGTTAAAAGATGTAGGGATCTTGCAAAGGGTTAAAGCAGTTAAATAGAAAGATATATGTTTTAACTGAGTTGTGCTTTAAAATTACTTCTAATTTATCCACTTACGAGACATGTATGGAGGTAAAATGATCAGTAGTAATGTGCAACAGAAAGATATATACTTTTTTAATTGTAGCCAAGAGGAATAAAACAGCATGGAATAACTTAATCGTTGCTAATTATAATATCACTGAGGTAATTACAATAGATTTTGATTGTCTCATTTTCACACCAGAGGAGGGCACAATACTGGCTTTTCTCTTAATACATATTTGTTTTTAGAGAAGAGCTGACAATTACACTAATTGTACTCACAGCGTGAAACTTTGTTTTTAAAGAAAAATTTGTCTACGTGTCATATGGAATAAATGCATGCTTTTTGTTTTGTTAGGTGTAAATTAAAGACATATTAATTGCTTTGTTCACTGTAACAATACAGAGATCTTCTCATGCAAGCACGACTAATTCTGACAGAGTCATATCACTTGGAAGTGTGTGACACTCCAAGTGAAAATGGCAAGAATGAACTACCACTTCTCAGTGGTTAATGTGTTTGAATAGAATATTGTCACCTGGAAGGCAACATCCAGCAGCTGTTCTTCCTCTGTGGAATCCACTTGGATGAAGTAGCAACAACCAAGACAACTGGGTCAGACCCACAAGTCTGAGTTGGGTAATCTTCTCTGACTTCAGTTTGTCTGAATTTGGAAGTTTAACAGCTTCCAAACTCCATCTGACCTAAGGCTCAGCACTCTTTGTCTGGCCTTGTCCAAACTTTAAATCCTCCAGAGGCAGATACAGGAGATGTGAAGGTTTGCAATACCAGGCACAGCCCTTCCCTGAGCATAGGGGGGATATAACCAGCCCTGAAAGTGCTGTCACATCATGTGCACCATGAGGAACCACCAAAGAAAACCACCCTCCTAATTCACCCTACCAAAATTCTGTACTTGACAAGTAGCATGATTTATCTTTTGTGATACTCTCACCCTCCAAACAAAGATTAAAGTAAAACCAGTGGTTTAACCTCACAAAGCTACCCTTTTCCCTTACAAATCTGAGTTTATCAGGCTCTCCTGTCTAGATCAGCAAGGCACCAAGCTTTCCATTCCAAGTCTTTGAAGCAGAGGAGCAGAGCTCTGAAAACAGGACTCACATCCACTCTGTCACACACCTGCCCTACCCAAGGTGTGACATCTGCCCTGCCACCTGAGGAGTCTGCAAAGCAAGGCAGATGAGCAGGACAAGAAATGCAGTGTGTGCCAGGTTTAAATAACCACAGCAGCATGGCTTATCTCACCTGCCAGTCCCACAGAGGTGGGAAAGCAGGCTGGATAGGTGCATTCTCCCAGCTCTGATGTCAACAGGACTTGAGATGCTCTAATGTACACAGAACAGCAGAGCCTGAGAGTCTGAACTGGACAATGATTTTGCTTCTGTACTATTTAGCATTTTCACTAAGGGGAGCATGATTTGCTGCTGTAACTCACCACAACATCAGTGTTGCTAATGGAACCTCACCAGCTTTACCCACTCACACGGTGTCACCACACACCTTTCAAAGGGTGTTTGCCTCTTCTCTGATGCAAAACTCGATCACTTAATGTGCAGGATACTTCAGATGAAGTGTCCCACCAGACTAGGCCATTACCACAGAAATTTGCACCCTTCTGGTCATAACCTTTGTTTCTTCTTCCACTGTTTCCAGTCCAAAAGCAAGAACAGCAGTTGGAGTTTGTCCTTTTTTTACTCCAACAGCTCCAATGAACACACTCCACATGGGCAGAATGGCTTTAAACTGAAAAAAAGAGTAGAATCAGATCAGATATCAAGAATTTCTTCCCTGTGAGGATGATGAGGCTCTGGCACAGGTTGTCCAGAGAAGCTGTGGCTGCCCCATCCCTGGAAGTGCCCAAGGCCAGGTTGGATGGGACTTGGAGCAGCAACACAGCAAAAAACACCCAGGCCCTAAATTTTAATTTAATAGCTCCTATGGATTAGCACAAGCGAGGCAATGGTAACTCGTTTCTCTTGTCAAAAACAAAGCAAAACAAAAGCCTTTTATCTTTTAATCGATGTATGTAAAATATATATGACCAGAGCCCATGACAAAGATATCCTGTTACACCACCCCAAATGTGTCTGCAGCAGTCATGTTCCTTACTGCACAGGATGCTCATACTGAAAAGAAATAAGGAGATTTGAACTTCTTGCCACTTTAGCAAACCCCTGCCTATATATTTAGAATTAATTTTTGACTTTTATACCTGTGTTACAGATTCATATTTGCCACCAAAGACCAGCTAAAAGCAGAGAGTAGCTACAGATTTTACATACCAAGTTAATTAGCAATTCTTACCAAACAGAGTGTATCTTTTTGTCTCAGGGTTCAGCTTGGTCTCTATTAGACATATTTACGGGAAAAGTCAATGGATAAGACATTAGAGGCCAACCTCAAAGTCAGAATAAAGCAACCATAGACCTTAGAGAAGTGCTTTATTAGCCAAGAATTGGTTGGTTATTGATCTCGGTCTCTGTCTCTGGTCACAACAGCACTTACCCTAATTTTTCTAGTGTAAATATAAGTAAATTTGAATGGGTGTTGTTGAAACAATCTGTAAATCTACATTTTGTGGTTTATGTTGTAATTGTAGTTACGGGAAGGTTCAATATCTGGAGCATGGTAAGGAGACAAGGCTGTGGCATGGCAACCTCAGCTCTGCAAATATGTCCTGAAGCACTTTCTCAGAGGTTATTAAAATGACTGGAGCTATCACTCTGCTTAGAAGCAGGGAAACCACATGGGTACTCATAAGAAAGGAACTGAGAAAAAACACTGTAAAGAGAAATGTTATGCATTTAACTTCAGCTTTTCTTTTCACTGAGGTCAACCAGATAATTAAGAAAAACAGATATGCAGAGTTTCTTTACTTTTCTGCAGACAAACATTAATAAATTACTGCTTGTCTCAGCACTACCATAGTTTCCTTACTTTATTGTGCTTTTTCATTTAGTTTCATCTTTAAGATTTATTTGGAGATAATTTTCAACTTACTTCATGGCCTACTGCATAAGACCTCTCTTCTATTTGTCCTATTGGGAACACCTGTCTTGATCATACTTCTATAGGGTTAATGAGGGTTAATGACTGTTGTATTGCAGATTGATATTACCAAGCAAATTTCAAGAATAAATACCAAAATAAGTGATAGCTGTATCTGCTGCAGCACTTTTTCTCCTTTTAGGTTAACACTGAATGGACTATAACATATTGGTTTAAAAACTGCACACACACTGCAACATAAAACTGGAATTTTCACTATTGCTAAGTGCTGTTTCCTTCCAAAATTCCCATTGTTGCTCAGAATCCATAAGGCTTTTATTCACATCACAACATATTGAGAAAGAGGCAAATCCCTGTCTACAGTTTAGCCATATAATAGAAAACAGGATTTAAAAACGGGGTGGAACATTAACTTTGTTATTCCACTTCCTTTCCAGTTCCAGACCTGCCCTGCAATGTCTGCTCTCCCTGACAGAACGAAACCAGAGAATAGTCCTCATCAAAAACATAAACTGAAGCCATCAGTTGCCTACAACTGAGCACCAGCACTACTTATCTAGTCTGGACAAAATTAAATCCTGTCTGAAACAGACTGAGTTAGAAACCAGAGCTATCTGTTCAGCTGACACACGATATGTCTAAGTCAGCTCCGTGGTCTGTTTTCTGTTCCTGTACCACACTTTCCCCATTGACTTGATAATTTCCATCCTACACACAACTTCCATGTTCTACTGAAGCTTTTGTTTAACTGGAGGCTGAATGTGCAGAAGATGGGGTTTTCCCAGCAGCTCCAAGTGGGACCTGAAAACCAGGTTTTACTTCAGGGAAAACATAACACAGATTCTCAACTTCAAAACTGAGAACCGCTGCCTATGTTTTCTCCTGCCATGCTCATCTGTGTCAAACATTACTGCAAAGTAATTAAAGGATTTCTCTTACAGGTGATCTGATATGACAGGGATGAACAATGGGAAGACCACCCAGACGATGTCACACCAGTGCCAGAGAAGAACCAGAAGAAAATCTGCTTTACATTCTGAACACAAAACAGTCTTTCATTCCTCCCCACCTGCTCCCACATAAACCACAAACCACCAGCAGCAGCTGAAGTGCCTCAGACTTGGACATTCCATCTCATCATTAAAAATATTGCCTTAACTTTATGAAAAATTGCAGTGATATTTTAATTTGCTTTGAGTTGTAGGGCCTTATCACTGCCATAAGGAGCTCTTCATTCCTTATCAATAGGGTACACAGTTCTTCCAACCCATAATGCAGGAAAGGAACAATTTCTGCATAACTTCAGCAGACTCTAAATCAGCTTGTAATGAGAAAATATCACAGTCCATGATATGTGTGCAATTCCAGCTACTATTAAAAAACTAAACAAACAAAACAAATAAAAAATCCAACAAACAAACAAACCCCCAACCACAAAAAAATTTCCTCAACAACCCTTAAGGCCTCTCTAATTAGGCACTGAATTTCTTCTCCATTTCCTTGCTATGAACGATTCAATGGAAGAACTGGTTTAAGAGAATTCTACCCCATTCTCCTGCTCTCCCTGCTGTTCTTCCTGCTATGCACTGGTTCCTAAACTCGTCCAGAAAAGAGCAACAGTGACTTGAACCATTAAAAGATTTGTAAGGTGGAACCTCACCTTGAGCAACTTTAGAGCTGAAGTAATTAGTGGCTGCTGTGCAGCTGAGATAAAATACTTTGTAACTTCCGTGATTATAGTTATTATTGTTCCTCTGCATCTTCCAGTGTAGTGAAAAACCATCTGGTCTTGGGAACTGTTAATGCCAGTGAATCCAAGAGAAATGAAGGGGGCTTAATATCTCACAAATGGGGCTGTTAGTACCCAGAATATTCTATGACACTGCATCACTAGCAGATATTGTTGACAACTCACAAAATAGTATTTATATTTATTCATGCAATGCAAAGGCAGAACTCCTTCTCTGTCTGCATTTCTAATGGCTGTTAGGAGGCTACGGATGAGAATAATCACAAAACCTGAATGGAGATAATAAAACCAATAGTGTTCAAGTGCTGAAACAAAGAGAATCCCCAGTGGGGCAGTGATCTTCTGAATGACTCAAGTAGTTCTGCACAAGCCTTTGAATTTCACTTTGACATTTAAATGAAGAAAGGGAGAGAAAAGCACAGGCCAATTTCATTGATTGGTGTAACTCAGGAATCTAACATAAAAGCATTGGGATGACTCACAATGCATACAACATCTGAAACCAAACTCCATTCTTTTCAATTCCCATTTCATTAAAATAACCTCCTGTTTTCTTCTGTCATAATATCTGGCTTGAAAAACCCTGTGCAGGGGGTTAAAGCACAGCTTTTTTTTACTGGAGCTCACTGGGAGGGGAGCTGGCTGCAGTGCCCTAATGAATTTCAATTTTTTATTTTTTAAGATTATTTCAGCTGAGAATTTACCATGCATCAATTTTAAAAGTTCACAAACTCACAGCTTCCTCCCAGAAAATAAAAAATTAGCCAAACCATACTGCTAATCTACTCACATAAAGACAAATTCCATCATTGACTCTTTTTCCAATCATGCAGGCAAGGTCAATAAAACTATCCCAGCTCTTCAGAGGAAGTAACCTGTGTCACAGACAGGCAGTGCAACTTATTCCTGCCCTTTTCCTACACAGTTTGTGCAGGTGAAGCTCCACTGGTGAAGGTGAAGCCGTGGCCTGAGTGGGTGTGCAGAGCCAGGCATGGTCTGGAGCTCATCTGGTCAGGCTCTCAGTGCCACAGATAAACCCTGGACTGATTCTTTAGGGGCTTTTAGGACATAGCACAACAGGTTGTAGATTAGCCTAGAACTTATTTGGTGAGGAACTTTCCCTACACAGCACATTCTTTGTTTTAATCTATTAAGTGTATATAGAATTGACTTCCACACACAGCAAATCCAAGAGCATTGCAGACCTCCTGCACTAAGACTGATACATGCAGCCACCTTTTCTCCAGTAAAGTTTGCACCTGCCCTTTCCAATACACACACACACACATACATCTATATTTGGAAGACCCTATTTATGCTGTTTTACATGCAAACAACAGCAGTTTCAATGGAAGGAACACCTCATTCCTGCAGACCAGAGTCATCACAGTGCCTTGGTAACTTCTGTTTAAAAGTGACTTATAGGCTCTGAGACAAACTGCAGGATTGTTTCTCAGCAATCTATCCAAAAGAGTGCACTGCATTAACTTATGGAAGGTCCAGACTATGAAAACATTACAGCAAATATTTTTGCTTTACTTTTTGACTGATAACCTTCATCATTAAAATTAATGCCAGCGTAAAGTCAGAATTGTACCTATTAATACAACTCTAATTGATACTATAAGCAGCCAAAATCTCACTATGAATACAATCAATTCTGCACAGATCCTGTTCTTTATTGACTATTTGGTTCGCTGGGGATAGTATGTTTTAGCATCATTTTTATTATTTTTTTAGCAGTGATGCCACCATATAGGTCTGAGACCCTGGGGTATTTGGCGATTTCATTTCAACTTCCTGTGACTTTCCCAACATACAGAACCAATATTGGAGGATGCTGTTAGTACACAGTCCCCTTGGGTAGCTAGTTATGAAACCTGAATTGCTGCACTTAAGCAAGCCTGTCAGAATGCTTGGCCTCCTAGACACCATGGCTCCGGCTCCATCTACAAAACTTTAAGTGGCACTAGCTAAAAGTATGGAAAAAACCCATATCCTGTCTTTGCATATATAGAACAACACTACTAATGGTGTTCTGCAAGAGTGTGTGTAGGCTGGGTTAGGAAAAAATGTCAGTATTTTTCAGAGGAGAGCTTCTTTCTTGGATTCATACAAAAACATAGCTGACATTATGGGTGGGCCAATTGAATTATAAAATAAGCTCATCTGTAAATTGACTGATATTTGCAGATGAAATTACTTCAGATTTTTTTTTATCTCTTTTGGAAAAATTCCTTGTAATCTGCATGATTTCTACAGAGGGTGTACCTGTACTTCTGCAAATCCTTATAGAAAGTTATAGTGGTCTCATAAAGCAGTAACTGGAACAAAGGATTTCTGCTGGTCCTTTGAATTACACCCTTCAACAACACTGCAAGAGTGTAGCAAATTTTTCCAGTAGCAAATAACATTTTTTTCTTCCCTGTTCTTACCTCCTTAAACAAAGCACCAAAGCACCAGCCAACTGTTTTGAACCCTGTTAATTAACAAAACAAATTTTCAGAGGCAGCAGGACCTCAGCTGAGCCTGTCCCAAAGACATGTGGCCACGAGAGCGGGGTCAGCCTTGAGATGTTCCAGCTCTTGTTATTGCTGAAAATTCAGAAGGCATCATGAAAACAATTGCTGTTATCACAAGGATGGCTAAATGCAGGGCACTCGTGGCTGAGGCACCTCTGCCTCGGAATTGTCATTGTCCCCAGGAGATGGAAAGCACACCAACCCTCCAGATCCGGGCTCCCAGAGCTGAGCTGATGATGAGATTCACACCTAGGTGTACCTACACAGGGAGCCAATTTCCAAGGCGTGGGCCTGCTAATGAGATTGCCCTGATGCAAAGCTGCGCCCTCAGGAAGGGAGAGGCAGCTTTCCAGAGGAGCACAGGTTACCTGGTGGAACAGAGATGGTGCTGAGGCTCTCGGGAAGAGTGTCAGGGATTCATTAATAACCACCAGCACACAGGCACTTCATCTCAGAATCACAGTGCCTCCAGCTGCAAAGAGACATCCTGTGTTTTGGCCAAGTGCTGAGGCAAAGGAAAGCACGACCAAGTGACTCAACCAAGCTTCTGTTCTCTCTTCTGTGTTTTTGGAGATTTCACACTGAAGAACTGAGCTTATCAGTGCTGCTCAGACCATAATATCTGACACATCCAATTGCAGCACGCTGTGATAAGGCTACAGAGGAAGGAGATATTTAGAGTTTGATATCTATGTATTTTTAACAGCTTTTTTAAATTATTATGAATGCACACATCACTTAGCAGACTCAACTGTTTGCCTTAAACCTTGATTAACTAAAAGAATGCTTAACCACATATTTTTTCCTTGTTACCCAAGAGCCAGGCACAACCAAAGCACAAGAGCAAGCAGAATGTACCTGTTTGGGTCTTTCTTCTCATGCCATGTCCCCCTTCTCAAAGTCCCCTCCTTGCTACTTTTCCATGATCCACCAACCAAGTTGCCAAATTATTCTTAAATTTACACTTGCTTAATCAATAGCTCTATCAACTTCTGTGGACCCATGAGTTTTAGCATCATTTCAACACTACTCACATCAATAAATTTGACAAAAACACATCCATGAGACATTTTGGAAGTCTATTTTACAATCTACTGTCTGCAAACAATTAGCTGATAATCAGAGAAAACCAAGTCTTTTTGAGAGATGCATGTGCACACACACACTTCAGGAGTTAGATAAATCTGAAAATTTAAGGACATGTAAAGTCAGATTTTCAGCTGGTACAAATCAGCACACTCTCCTAATTTATACTGGCTAAGGATTTGACCCTTAAAATATTTTCCTGACACTTCTGATAAAGAAAGAACATTACATTTCACTTTATAATTGGACCCTATAGTTAAAAATAGCCAGATTCTTTCCTGATTAAAGAGACAGGAAGATATAAACCAGATTTATTGTCTATTAGATTTTATGTTCCATTTTCTCTTGTCACAAGAGAAGTAATTTTGTGTATATAGCCTGTCCAGCACAAAGTCATTTGTTCTCTCAGATACACTAATTCAAGCATAAATACATAGACCCATCTTAATAAGCCACACCTCCCCCCTTCATACAGTTAGGGATCCTGCCTAAATGTTTTCACATTCCCTGGATTTGCATTATTCTGTGCTGAAGTTCTTACTGATATGATCTTTACTTTTTCCCAATGAAGTCAACACCCGACTGTAAAATATTTGTGAAAAAGATTATTT